GTGTGTTTCAGGCTTTCTGCAATTAAAAGGAATTTCTCAGTGTGACAAGGGGCAGGGCACATTCCTATGCTTCTTACTCCAGGTGTGATTGTGTTCCCTGCACAGACTACCATCAGCTTCTGTGTGGAAAAGACAAACATGAAACAAGTTTGATGTATGGTGGACGTGTAGAGGCTGAATTGGGAACAGCTGGCAACATGATGCTTTCCCTCAACTTGGGAGTTTTTTTCACACATCCTCCCCCCTTTTTTACTTCTACTTGAGCAAACAAGCAAAAAACAAGCTCCTCACTAAGAAGACAATTAAGGAATTTTTACTGAACTTTTCCTCAACCAAGATGTCTTTCACATAAGAAATATTCATTCGTTTGATCTTTTTCATTCATTTGCTCGACTAGTTAGTGGGCGCTGCAGGCACAGAAATCCCAGCTCTCACAAACCTTTTGTCTCCAGGGAGGGATTTAGTCAGCAGGTGAGTATTCAGAAAGGAATATGATTTTAAAAATAGATAATTAAAGGATAGGAAAAGTCAGAGACAATGGAAGTACCCAGGAAAGGCATCTTACCCAGATCTGGAAGCATCAGGGGACTGTCCCCTGGTGCTGGGAAGGTTGGGGACTGCTGTCCTGGAGCACACAAAAATCAGAGGTAAAAATGTGTAGTCCCACTGCAAAATGAAGACTAAAGACTTGGACAGATGGAGAAAATCAAGCTACTAGAGCAATTTTCAATGTACAATCTTCATAAGATTTCTAAGTTCCTTTGCATTGTCATGAACTTGAAGAACATTGGATATGCTCAAATAGGCACTCTAACTTCTGTCACTGATGTCTGCCCTCCATTAAAGCAAATATTGGGACTTAAGAACTTCTAACAGTCTTATTTCTCTTTTTAAAAATCCTTAACTGGGCTAACAAAAATATAAGATACTAGAAATAAATCTAACCAAAGAAGTAAAAGACCTCCACAAGGAAAACTACAAGAAGCTAAAAAAAGAAATTGAGAATGACACTAAAAAGTGGAAAGACACCCCATGTTCCTGGATTGGAAGAATTAGTATAATCAAAATGGCAATCCTACTCAAATTAATTTGCACATATAATACAATCCCAATCAAAGTACCAGAGACATTCTTCACAGACCTAGAAAAAACAATCATATAATTTGTCTGGAGTCATAAAAGACCTCATATTGCCAAAGCAATCCTGCACAAGAAGGGTAGAATGGGCAGCATCTCATTCCCTGACCCAAAAATATACTATAAAGCTGTGGTAATCAAAACAGCATGATATTGGCACAGAAACAGGTGGACCAATGGAACAGAATAGAGTCCCCAGAAATAAACTCCCAAACATACAGCCAATTGGTTTTTGACAAAGGGTACCAGTCACTCCATTGGGAAAAGGAAAACCTCTTTAGCAAATGGTGCTGGAAAAACTGGATATCCACCTGCAGAAAGATGAATCTGAACCCCTACTTCTCACCATTGACAAAAATCAACTCAAAGTGGATCAGAGATCTAAACCTAAGACCTCAAACTATAAAACTGCTCCTGGAAAACACTGAGGAAACTCTGGGAGATGTTGGGGTAGGTAAAGACTTCTTAAGTAAAACCCCCTGAGTGGTCAGTAATCCCAAAAATAGATAAATGGGATTATATCAGATTAAGAAGTTTCTGCATGACAAAAGACACAGTAATTAGTGTGAATAAACAGCCCTCGGAATGGAAACATATTTTTGTAAACTATGTGTCAGACAAGAAACTGATAACCGGAATACACAAGGAACTTAAGCAGCTGTGCAAAGGGGAAAAAAAAAAAGATAACCCTATTAAAAGATGGGAGAATGAGTTGAAAAAGCCACTCTCTAAGGATGGCATGTGAACAGCCAAAAGACATGAAAAATTGCTCAACATCCCGAATTACAAGGGAGATACCACTTAACCCCAGTCAGAATGACTAAGATAAAAACAAAACAAAACAAAACAGAAAATGATAAGTGCTGGCGGGGGTGTGGTGAAAGGGGGACTCGCTTACATTGTTAGTGGGAATGGAAATTGATCCAGCCACTGTTTGGAGATTCTTTAAAGATCTATAAATAGAACTATCATATGATCCAGCAATCCCACTCTTTGGTATCTACCCAAAGGACAGAAGACTACTTAGTCAAAAAAGTGCTTGCACATCAATGTTTATTGGGGCATTATTCACAATTGCTAAGACATGGAACCAACCCAAATGCCCACGAACAAATGAATAGATTGAAAAAGTGTGACACATATACTCAATGGAATACTACTCAGCCATAAAAAACAATAGGTCCCTGGCCTTTGACAGAAAGTGGAGGAATATGGAAGATTTACTGTTGAGTGAAGCAAGCCAGGAGATGAAAGAGAGACATTGTATGTCTCCACTTAATATATACTGGTTGTCCACACTCTATGACCCAAACTGAATGACCAAAGGATATAGAAACATATTAAATGGTTGTGAATACCAGATACTATGTGGGAAGAGGGAGGGTGAGAAAGTAGAGTCTGAGGAAGGACATTAAAGAGAAAAATAGAGAAGCAAGGCATTTATGGGACAAAGAAATTGGTTATTATCTGTTGAGGGATAACCTTATAGTATTGTCAACTGGACTGGTACAAAATTGTACACGTTGGAATTTTCACTTTGCAAGCTAAGTAATGTGATTGAATGTACAAAAGAAATTGAAATAAAAAAACATCCTTAACTGGGCTAGGTGGTGGTGTGGTGATTAAGGCAGCTGGATCCCACATGGCCCAGTCCCGGACCTAGCAGATTAAAAACATACTGGTTTTGTGTGCGTGAAAATCCCAAAAAGAAGGGAAGGTGAAGGAGAAGGAATTATGGCATGATCATGACCCATGGGGCATGCTTTCTCACCTCCCCTCTCTCTCTGTCTCTTTTCTGCAAGCACACACACCTTTTGGGGGGGAAAAAAAAGCCTTAACTTTTATGTCTAGTAGTATTGTTATCCTGATTGTGGGTAATATTTTAATAGGTAAATTATGCTAAATAATCTCTGTATAAGAAGATAAAATCTTTCAATTCTAACCTTAATCAAAGTTAATTGAATCAATATATTCTAGAATATTCTCTAAGAAATTAGTTTTGAGAATAATTTTGTAAGTTGCACAAGGGGTGAAGCTTATTACCGAACTATTGACAGTCATTCAAAATTAATTTGTATTTTCTTTCTGTGATCACTTAGGCTGCTCCCTCTGCTAAGATCACTGACTACAAACTTTATCCTTCAATGTCTATTCTCCCATGTTTTGACCATTTTAATGTTTGTTCCACAGGAGAATTAAGCCATCGCCTTCTGTTCATTTGTATTATTATTATTTTACATGTCATATCATTTAAACAGTTTGGTGAGGTTTCAAGAGAGAGCTCATAGGAGGATGAACAAGAGGTAAACAAACCGAAAAAGAGGTGTTTTTGACAGGATCTCCTCATTGTGATCCCATGCCCCAGCCTCCTAGTTGGCTAGATGGATCACAGACAGATCCTGTGGGGCCCAGACTGTTCAAGCTGGCCCTGGAACCAAACGCAGGCCTCTCACGCAGCCCCGGCCTCCTGCCTGTCTTTTTGTATCCACTCTAACCCTCAACATGGGCACCTGGAGTTTCACTGGTAATGACGATCTTTAGGCAGAAGGCTCATGAAATCATTTCAATTTCATAATTGAATCTTCCCCAATTTTGACAAGAAAAAAGAAAGATTGAGACACATATACTTCGCTTGTAGCAGAGCAGTGCTGAGTAACAAACCTGCTAAGGTTTCTGAAGATCAAACTGCTTCATGAGCTCTTTCCGTCCAGTCTTCTGTGGTTAGAAATATCAGTTAAGAGCATCTACAGAAAACACACCATCATCTCTCATTAGAAAAGTTCTGTGGGAAACGAAACTAACCAAAGGAAGGATGCGAGCACCAGTCTCATCCTGTATGCTACTTATACAAAGGAGAGGCCCATGATATACTTGTTCTGTATTCTTACTGAGTGTGGCCTCATAAAGACAGCAAACATAGTCATTTAGGTAATTCATCTGTCCCCTAAATGAGTTAATATGTGAAAGTGCATAAAGCATAGAAAGCACTTAACAAATGTAAGATGTTGGGCTTGGTTTTTAACATCGTTTCAGTTTTTTAGAGCTGTGCAGACCACTCCGGTAGCCACTAGGTAGCCACGTGTGGATATAATTACTTGAAATGTTACTTGTCCATACTAAGATATGCTCGAAGCATTAAATATACTTTGAATTACAAAGACTTGGTAGGGAAAAAAGAATGATTTTTAAATTGGTTTCATAATAATTGGGATATATTAAGGTAAGTAAAATATATCGCTAAAATTAATTTTACTTTTTCCTTTTTATTTTATTAATGTAGCTTGCTACAAGAAAATTTATAAGTATACTTGTGACTTATGTTTTGGGGTTGCATTATATTTCTTTTTTTTTTTTTTGGAGAGGTTTTTGCTATAGGGCACATGCGCTTGTCAGAAAGACAGAGAGAGACAGAGAGACAGAAAGTGAGAAATCACCCCAGGGGGGATGGCCAGGCCACAATCCCTTCTCCTCCATTCTCCTCTTGAGATCTTGGGCATGCACGCACACGTGCCCATGTGAGTTGAAGCCACCGGGTCCGGGACTCGAACTGTAGTCAACTACATGGGAGTCCAGTGACATAGCCATTATGCCAACTGCTGGTCCAGGTCATATTCTATTTCTAATAGACAGCACTACATGAGAGAATTCCCAGGGTATTGTGACAAAACAGCTGCGTTATAGATATTCATCAAGGATTTTGATCAGTTAAGAGAAAAGGAAGTAGGTCAAATTACAGCTGGAAAAATATGGACTGTACTCTTATAAAAAGCAAAATTAAATGTGTTTTCTGCTGTTTTGCGATCAGTTTTATCTTTAAGAAACTAAATCTTTTATGTCTAATGAAAAACAATTCTTATTTCTAGGTTACTAGTTGGCTCGCCTTGGAGCGGCTTTCCTGAGAACCGAATGGGAGATGTATATAAATGTCCTCTGGATCTATCCACTACTACATGTGAAAAACTGAATTTGCAAAGTAAGTTGTAATTAACAGTGTGATTTCTTACAAATAACAACATCTCATTTGTTTTATATACCCATTACAAATAACTGCAAAATCAATCATTGTCTTTCTTTAAAAAATCTTTTTTGCCTTTATTACTTTAATCATCTGAGGCATAATTGTGTCAAATTTCCAGCAGATTTTAGGCCTAGTTTAACAATGTGCATGGGACATGTGCTGCCTCCTAAACTATTTACTTTCACACCATGACAGGTGTTCCTCAATATTTTGGATGATTTTACTGCTTCATTACATAAATTGGAGGTTATTCATATTTCTCTCCCTCCTATACTCAAAAAAACCCCCTAACTATTAAGTATAGAAACATCAGTATTAGGGCTGTGTTTGGACATGTCAAGAAACACTGTATTTCTAATTATGTCTAAATGATTGCATTCTAATTTTTAAAATCCACAATTTGAAATCATTTGCTACTTTAATGATCCACATGAAAGATACCTCCTAATACAATAAAATAATAATAAAAGTGCAAGACCAGGAAACTAAATGCATGATACCTTCCTACAAGCGTTTCAAGTAAAAAGTTACTTGGTTTGGTTATCATATCAGCAGCAACATTCAAAAGCTAAATTAAAGCACCACCAAGGAGTCATAGTGCTCGCCTGAAGAATCAAGGCATGGATTACAAAAGTACAGGGTTATGGAAATCAAGGGAAAGCAGAGTTTCAAAAATAGTGATTAAGAATAGGAATAAAGGGAAGGAATATTTCTTATTCACCTTTGGATACCTAATTTCTAGCATAATTTCTGGATGTAGGAGAGGCTCAATAAATTTGCGAAGGGTCTTTAAAAAGTTCATGGAGGGGCCAGCAGGTAACGTGGTTAAGGCACTGAATTCTCTCATGGTTGACCCTGGTTTGAGTTTTGGACCTGGCAGCTTGAAAATCACACAGGGCACATGTGCATGTATGCCCAAAATCCCGACAGATGAAAAGAGAAGGGATTATCATGTGGCCATTCCCTCTGGGGCTGATATCTCACTTTCTGTCTCTCTCTGTCTGGCGAGTGCATGTGTCCTATGGTAAAAAGAGAAAACAAAACAAAACAAAATTTCACAAAAAATATCTGTTTTGAAAAAAACTCTGCATGGATTAAAAAGAAAAAAATTTTTGCACCAAAATAAACTCAAACTTTAATTCTATTTTTACCACAAATCTTTTGAAGTCCCCTTATATTTTCAATGAAGTGGAAGGAATATCAATGGTGTCAAATCCCACAGAAAGAGGGAATTTCAGTGGTGTCAAATACAACAGAAAGTGAAGACTGAAGACTGAGATTCAGTTTATTTAAGAAGTTTGTGGGTGACACAGATTAATGATATCTAAATAATTTGAACATTCTATATATGTAATATATAATATATATAATTTTTTTTAGAGAGAGATTTTTGCTCTAGGGAATGAGTGCTTACTGAAGAGACACAGAGAAACAGAGACAGACAGAAAGTGAGAAATCGCTCCCTGGGGGGATGTCTATGGTGCAATCTCTTCTCCTCCATTCTCTCCTCAGGATTTTGGGCACACATGCACATGTGCCCAGCATAAGTTTCAAGCCACTTTCTAGGAATGGCTTCACGTAATAAAAAGAAGTTGAGTTGCCCTGAGTGGGTGATTGGTTTTCTCTGCAGTAGACAGATTATTTATAGAGAACAGTGGGACGTGGGTGAAGGTGGGAAGGTGAGGAGAAAGGGTGGAACTTTACAGAATTCACCTTTAGAAGTAGTAGAAAGACTAGGGATAAATGAAGGTGGCAATGGCAGTTTAGCAGAGATTAGAGAACACTAGTAATCACATTAACAAAAATTGCAATGTTCAATAGCTCAAGAATGGAACTGGTGGCTGATGCGCATCCCTGTCAGAAAAAGAGAGGAAGCTGAAGAAATTCATTTACTATTTTACAAGGCCAGACTTACGATTTCCTTTTAAAGTTCACATTGCTTCTAGCAGATTCTATTATAAGGCATCCTTGGACAATGTTTTAATGATCTCTTTTTTACCAATCCAAAAATGGCATTAGATAGACCTTGTGTAACCTTAAAAAGAACAGGGCTGGTAAAGAGAATCAAAAAGTATCCTCCAGATGTGTTTGCTGAGGCCTTACTTTGTAAACAATTTACATTTAAGTGCCGGTAAGTCTTGCCCTCGGTAAGTCTTGCCCTCTCCTGAGCCCCCCGTATCTTCCAGCCTCACATTTATGAGCTGCCAATCACTAACGGCATCTCAATTTCCTCCATCCATTATATAAGTCACACCTGGACATACAACACTAAATTCATTGCTACATATAAACATGGGTGTGCCTGTTTGGGTTTTTAATAACCACTTTAAGTAAACGGTGAAGATTTAATCACACTCTTTTAAATGCTTTTTTCCCTTTGAAAGCTTCAACAAGCATTCCAAATGTTACGGAGATGAAAACCAACATGAGCCTTGGCTTGACGCTCACAAGGAACGTGGGAACTGGAGGGTTTCTCGTGAGTGTTTATTTTTCACATCCTCATTCCTGTCCACAAAGTCTGTAGTCAGTGTCTTCTTGACATTTCTCCCATCAAATCCAATCTGGGGTTTAAATGCTACAACTTGCTTTGGGTTAAAGTATGCTCCTTGGATAGCCCAGGTAAAATAAACTGGCAATATGTGGACTTCTTAAGATATTCAACAAAAGCATTGCCACAGGGAACCAGCAGTTGGCATAATGGCTATGTCACCGGACTCCCACGTAGTTGACCGTGGTTCGCGTTCTGGACCTGGTGGCTTAAAACTCACGCTGGGCGCGTGTGCGTGCGTGCCCAAGATCCCGAGAGGAGAATGGAGGAGAAGGGATTGCGGCGTGACCATCCCCCCTGGGGGGTGATTTCTCGCTTTCTGTCTCTATGTCTCTCTCTGTCTGTCTGGCGAGCGCACGCGCCCTATAGCGAAAAAAAAAAAAAAAAAACAACCTCTAAAAAGCATTGCCACAGAACTTTTTGAGGATAGAGAACAAGAGGGACTCTGGTTCTTTGCCCTTAGACAGAAAGTGTGCTTGGTGTTTGTTCGTTAACAGCAAAATCCCAGGGCTCATTACTACTTCCTGCATTCAAGGCAGATACAACTAATTCAGAAAGTAGATTTCAAATCTAAAAAGTATTTTTGTTTTTAATCATTTCCTATAACCATTGGCTAATCTGGTTTTAAAGAATGGCACAGTCTCTCGATCCAATCATATGTTGGATTTATTTTCAGTTTTTTAAATGCTATGTGAAATCATCACAAATTAGTCAATAGGGTTTTTTTCTAATTAATCTGGGGACAATTAATTGTTTAATGATTTGCATATGCAAATATGCAAAGAAATTAAAGTCGACATTAAAAATTAGATGGAAATGAATTTTTTTGAGAGGTTTTTGCAAGAGGGCCTGTGCACTCACCAGAAAGACAGAAACAGAGAAACAGAAAGCAAGAAATCACCACCACCTCCCCCCCCAGGAGGGATGGTCATGCTGCAGTCCCTTCTCCTCCATTCTCCTCTCGGGATCTTGGGCATGCACGGATCTTGGGCATGCACGTACACGTGCCCAGCATGACTTTAAGCCACCGGGTCTGGGACTCAAACTGAGGTTGACGACATGGAAGTCCAGTGACAGAGCCATTATGCTAATTGCTAGTCCCCAAGTGAATGTTTTCTGAGGGAGGAAAAAAAATTCTGAATTTAGGACTAATATAAGAAATAATATAGGGAATTGCTGAAAAGATTTAACTATATAAACATATAAAAGAAACCACATGCCATATATATGGAAAATATCACACCAAAAATAAAGTTTAAAGGCAACCAAAAACCTGAAATTTCTTACCTGAAATTACCACTAGCTCATATATATTCTAGTAGTACAATCCTGTTAGAAATTTCTAGAAAAATCTAACTTTAGTTTTATCATTTATATGCTACCTAAACAGCCTATGCTTTATAACTAGATTATTCTAAAAATCTAATCAATTTTGAACTATTTTAGTTAATAGATATTATTATCCAGATGACTTTGTTACTGCTAAGTATATTAGATACTGCTTATATTATGTATTACATCAGTGCATATAACTTCATAGTTTTTGATATGTCAAAGTATATGAAGGTTACTTTTACCTTTTTTCATTTGTTTATCTGTTGTTAAGGCTGAAATGATCAGAAAGTGAAACATGTTGAGAATTAAGAAATACAAAATGTCTCAAAATGTGTAATGTGTAACTCTAGATAAAGTAAAAGAAAATTACAATAGACATGAAATATTAATTTAGCAGCCCATGTAGCAAGCTGAAAAGCAGAGAGAGATGAAGAAAAAGGGAAAAAAGAAAAAAGAAAAAAATTATAATTTTCCTTTACATACTTAAAAGGTCAAAATCATAAAATACTCTTAAGAATTATGTGGAAAAGCCTAACAATCATCACATTTTTTGAATCTTCTAAAGTTCTGGGCTTAAAGCA